GACCATGAAAGATAAGGAGATTTCTAAGAGCAAAAATATTAGAAGGCTCAAAGAAGGTAAGGTATGTCAGTATAAACTGGATATTGAGAAAGAGAAAGCAGATGCAAACTTCTGAATATGAATCTGGAGTTACTAAGAGTATCAGAGTACAAAAAAAACTTGAAAGAAAAAAAAGTATTGCCATATTCAACCAAAAATCACCAAGAAAAATGTATATATTGAGGGGTTGATATAGTGAATCAAAAACTAGATAAAACAACTATTCGAGAAATGAAGGGGATAAAAGGGGAAGACAATAGATAAGGTAGATGGATGGTATCAACGAGATTAGGTATCTAACTTTTTACAAATGAGAAAGCTCAACAACTCATCAATTTTATTATATACTGCAAGATGGACTCCAATTGTTAAGTATTATAATTAATTTTGATCATGGAAGTTTTCCCAGTATATTTCAATTCAACGTAAAATAATGGGTAACTGAGATGGTAATATAAGAATAGGTCTAAGAAACGCACTGTTTTCTACACATAAACTTACAGTATTATACTGTAAAGGCAGACCTGAGAGCTTTGAAGTGAAAACACACTATTAAGCTGACCAAACAGTACACAAACTTTGGCTTAAGGCCAGTATCTGACTGAAAATGCACAGGGCCTCCATTCAGATATACAAGCAGGTTATTCTGGACTCCAGATTTAATAGCCCTGTGGAACTACCATGTTTGGATATAGATTTGCTTTGTTTGGGGATTACTTATTTTTCTGATTTCATCTCTTTTCCTTTTGTCAACACATCCTTTAAGATGTGTGCATGCCTAAGCAGATATTTTATTATTTTTAATTGTATTTATATGTATTTATATTGTTAAGCTTATTTCCAAGTGTTTTAAGTCAATTCTATTTTTTTGAGAGCCTTCTTTCTAATTTCCCTCAGAAGGATCGTATATTGTTCTCCCAAATTCCTGTCCAAAATAGAAACAATTTTCATCAATGATTAATTGCCCAAAAGGAAAGTAGTAACCTTGAGTACCTAATGTGAAATCATTGTGTAAAACTGTCCTTCTGGCAGGCCCAGGCCTTCAGACTTGAAGTTGTTATGAGAATACTCCAACTGGAATTCATTTCAGTCCTGTCCTTTAACTAGCAATCTCAATATTCTGAAACCAGAGACACATAAGACTCCTAAATCCAATGCACAGTACATGGCATAATACAACAACATAAAACAACAGATCTTCATTTCTGAAAATAGCCATTAGGTATGTCTTGAAAATGAAAAAGTGGAACTATCCCCAAACATCTGGATGAGACCCATTAAATCAAGCAGAATAATTTAGGAAGGAGGAATTGTGAATGAGTTCACAAGCATGGGTAGGTTTCTGACTGAAAGTCAGACTGGTGCTGAAAATATCTGCCTTTTTGATTATTCAGGACCTAATATCGAAAAGGTAGCTCTAACTTTTGTCCTTCAGTGCTCAATAAAATACCACATTAATAAGAAAAACAATTATTTCACTTGGTTATGCTGTTTAACTTGTTTATTTTATGTATTAAAACTACCACAAGACCTTCTGGAAAGTAGGGATGCTGTGCATATTTAAAAATAAATAAATTTCAACCTCATTCAAATATTAAGCCTCAGTGAAATATTTTAATGGAGACATGGCTTCCATGCATTTTATTAATATCCTCTCATGTAGCAACTTTCAGAAGCACGTTTAATTCCCATCTACAGTATTATCCTGAGTACAGGTTTAAATGTAGCGATTGGAGCAAAGGTCTCAATAAAACTAACTCTACATTCCTAGCTCATATTTCTTACTTTGCAATATAAAAGTATGTATAGACAACTTTCTGAAGAGATAGCTATATTTGTTGTCATTTGTTTATACACAACATGGAAAAATATCCTAAGATAAATTGCATTATATTTCCTCAGCAGTGCTAATGACATCTTGCTACTGATGTCAGAGCCATTGGCATTCTATTCAATTACTTTTCACTATCATATTTGTAAAGTAATTGTTTTCCTGCTTCAACTTTACTAAATTCATGAGGGCATGAGATTAAGTTGTCCAACCTCAATTACACATGTTCAAAAGTAGCCAAAAATAGCATCAACAAACATGACTAAATCAGCATGCAAGTTACTGTGAGATCCAACCACTCATAAAAATGACAAATGCAATTGGATAAAGAATTGTAACTATACTGATACTATTCCTATGGAATAATGTTGTATTCAGTTCAAATGTAAAACTTTATATTGTTGTTTTACTATTTTCATGTAAAACCATCAGTTCAAACTAATATATCAGCTAACACCAAGAAGCTTTGGATTGCCTGTAGTTAATAATCATTTGTAAATCTTATTTGTGGATGACTAAAGCTGCAGCAGACATGGTTAAACCTCACAATGTTCTGACTGTGATACATAACTGCAAATATTAGCTTAGTATGATGCACAAAGGTATACATGGGATAGTGACCAAAAGAAAAAATGGTTTTTATTATAGTTTCATTACATTTCTTTAAAAATTTATTTTTAATGCTATAGTATAATAATAAAATATCAGCATAGTGCCAAACAAGTAGCCTTTGACAATTACAATAAACAATACAATTCTAGGACTATGATAAGTGAGAACATTGGCTGTGCCAGCCATTTGTTCTTTGAGGCTACTAGTACAAGAAAGAGGTAAGGACAGAAAAAACAAATGCTATAGGATATCGTGTGCATATTAAGTATCATTGCTTTAGTTACTGAATGTAAATTATAAATTGCAATAAATGCTTTCATGTCTGTTATGGAACAGTTGTCTCAATAGGTTTTCTGAGGCTGTTTAGAACATATCTTTTTTAAAGCACAGTAAAAGGTAACTAGCAGCACATAAAACAACAACTAAATAAGATATAAAATAAAAAGTATCTGTAATTATTCCAAAGGTGCTTTTTCAATATATAATTCTATGTCTTAAATATTCAAAACTTATCTTATCTTAGCTGTCATACATGATTATATATCTGCAGATACATTAAAATTTCCATCTAAAGTTTTAATTAAAGAGTTAAAGGATTAAAGAGTCTTAGTACAAACAATACAAACATCAAAACATAGTTATATATTTGAGATAGTGAAGGCTTCTACCTTCCAATGTGCTAAGAAAAACTCAGTTATAACCCATCTGATTATATTCAGTTATCATAATGATCAAAAAGGTGGTGCTCAGTGATTTAAGATACTTGGAAAATACCTTTGATTTCCCAAAACAGTACAAGCAAGGATAGCTAAGCTCTTTCAGCACCATGGACAGCATCGAGCCTCCGCAGCGCTGTGGGCCTGTTCCATCTCACAGGACTGGATGTAGATATGATTCAATTTACAGTTCATAATAACATACAACCTCAGCACCTCCATTTCCTCAAATATGAAGCAGCGCTTATGTTGATCACAAGAACAAGTTTCCAAGACATGTGTAAAGATGAACTGATCATTATATCCCTGAAGTTTGGAAATCGCAAGTTTATTTATGAAGATACCATTCTCATTGCAAACTTTCAAAATAAGTTGCTTTTTTAAAAAAACAGAAAACTCTTCTTGACCAATAAATATTTCCTAAAGTACTACTCTTCCAGGGGGAAAGTAAACTGGTTCCATCTAAAAGTGTTCTAGGATATTTTACATTTTTTGTCTTTTACAAAACCTAAAACAAAATGCTTTAGGTTTCTTAAGGTATCATCCAGGTCTTTCTCTTTCAAAATAATATTTCTGGCCTTAGTATTTTAAAACATAACACAATTCTTATAGAAAGTGATCACATAGCCAGTTTTATTTGTTTAAAATAAAACCATACCATTAGCTTTAGAGAAAATTATTTCTGTATGAATTCACTTGGGACCGCAACTGTAAAGAGATTCACTACAACAGTCACAACGCAACATGTTTTGCTACACATGCAATTGTGGCTTGAGTAGAATGACAAAATAATCAAGTATACAGAGCGACAAAGCAGACACAATTCTAACCACCATCAGTGTTTTCTACCCAGAATCACTGCAGAATGTATTAGCAATTAATAAAACTGGAGCTAATCCTAACTCCAGAGATTTGATAGAGAAGACACACATCTGCCAAGAAAAATAAAGTCCACCTGGGACTACTTCCCTTCCTCTATGACCATCCTCTCTAGTGCTCCTAAGATAATCACCGAGCTTTGATTCCCAAAGGTTCCAGGAAACACTTTAAAGCCCTGCAAGCAAAGCTTTCACAATGAATTTGGACAAAACTGTCCTTCAAAGAGACGCTGTAAGTACTTGACCAACCACGCAGCTATTATCTCTCTCTCTCTCTCTCTCTGCCATTTATTCTCGACAGTCCGGAGGTATAGAAAAGAAGTAACACCCAAGCGCCTTATCTTTGGTAACACAGGATACTGTGATGAATGCACGCACACAAAACCCAAAAGAACATATATATCCAGTCTCTATCACCTATTCAACGCCACAAACACAGCAACTTCAAAATTAACTTCCTCTGCAAAGCAGTCACTCTGGCTCACTGACCTCTGAATGACGCCTCTTCCTTGCCAACTCCGGGAAACAACCGAAATCGCAAATCCAAGTAAGGACGCCGTGGGAAAACCCCTTTCCAACTATGCTTCAACTTAACTATCCCCCCCTCCCCGCTTCAGCCCATGCACGTTATTTCACCTTGGATCCTTGCTCGCTGGCTGGCACGCCGCCGCTTTTCCCTGCCAAGCCGCATTCCAGCCCCAGGCGAAGCGGGCCAGGGGAATCAACAGTGCCTGGCGGTTCTCGGGAGGAAGCTCCCTCTGCCCTCCCAAGAGACCGAGGATAGCCCTCCGCCCGTCCTCTCCCACCCCCCTCACGCCTAGACCACGCGCTTCCTCGAAGATCGCAGGCCAGCACGGTAGCCACAGATCTGAAGGGTAAAAACAAACACAGCCGCCGCCGCCGCAAAGCAAGCGAAGCTCCTACCTTGCAATCCTCCGGGCCGGATTTCACCGAGTACTCCTCCGCCTGCAGGTATTTCTGGAGCACGAGCTCGAACTCTCGGTAACGGTCCTGAGCTTGTCGATCGTACCTCTGGTAAACCAGGACGCAGCGGCGGCAGGAGCGAAGCCAATCCTCCTCCTCCCTGCTGCGCCGATCCCCTTCCCCAGCGCCCCCGTCGTCGTCGTCGCCGCCGCCGCCGCCGCGGTCCACAGTGCAGTTCAGCGTGTCCGGCCGAGAAAGCCCGGCGAAGAGCTCGCGCAGCGTATAGGAATTACAAAAGGGAAGGTAGAGCTCCGCCTGGGCCGAGCCCCCCGGCTGCAAGCGGCGACAGGCAACCTCGGCGTCGCCCAGTAAGCTGAAGCACTGGCCAGCACTGGCCGGTGCCGCGGGGCTGCTGCTGGGGGCCGTCCCCCCTACGTCGTGCTCCATGCCCGGCTCCGCGCGGCGCTCCCGGTCCCGATGGCGCCCGGCGGCGACTTGCCTGGCCTCAACGCAGAGCCACAGGTGGTCGGAGAGCAGGACGGTGAAGAAGAGCAGGGAGGCCAACGACAGGCGCCATTTCTGTGCCCGCTCCGAGTCGGCGAAGGGCTTGTCGGTGTCCCGCGGGCCGAAGCACACGCCCGAGCCGGATCCTCCCGTGGGGCGGCTGCTCATATTTCGGGAGCGCGCAGCCCCGGCCGGCTCCACGGCGACGGGGGCTCCGCAGCCGGGCTCGACGGCCCCACGGGCATGGACACTGGGCGGCGGGGCGCCAGGCTCCCCCCCTCAGCGAAGGGTGACGACGGGGGTGGGGGTGGCCGCGGCGGCGTTGTTGGTGCGAATGGTGGCGATGGTGCTGGTGCTCCTGCGCGCTGGGCTGGGCCGGGCCGGTAGCCGTCCCCTGCCTCCCTCGCCGTTCCCGTCACCCGGGCATGGTCAGAGCGCAGGCCCCCATTTTGGCGCCAACACCGCCAGTCCCCCGCTTCCCGCCCGTCGCCTCATGCCGCGCTCCACCGCCCCCACCCCCCACCCCGGCGCCCTGGAGAGCCACCCGGGGAACCCCGCGGACTGCGCCCCCGCTAGCCCCAGACGAGCTCCCGGCGCTGGGCTGGCTGCGGCTCGACAGGTTGCCGGGGCTGCTGGAGAGATGCCGGAGCCCCGGGGCTGAGGCTGCTGCAGTTCCTGCCGCTTTGGAGGTGGCGGCTTCTGCTGCTGTGGCTCTCGCTGCGGCTGGCTCTGCTCTCGCTGCTGCTGCTGCTGCTGCCGCCGCCGCCGCTGCAGCGGCTGCTAGGAGCGTTGGTGCCACTGCGCTGCGGTTGCTGTGGCTCTCGCCGAAGCTCCCGCCGGGCACGATCCCTCCCGGCTCGCGGCACGGATTTGGTTGCCTCCTGCCGCCCGGGGGCCACCCTCATCTTGGGGCCCTGCGCTAAGTTGCCGCCATCTTCGTCCGGGAGAAGCACTTTTTTGGTGGGGAGCGCACGGCCCTTTGCGTCATCTCCTCCTGCGCCGCCAGCCTGGCGCATTGGCAGCGGCGGCGGCGGCGGCGCGGCGTGCCCTGCTTTCTTTCGACTGGGGAGGAGGGGGGGCGGAGGAGGAGAAGAGAGGCGAGGGAAGAGAGGGGGGAGATTTGGGGAATTGCCTGCCACTCTGTGGCTCATTCTCGCCGTTTTTAGGATCCCCCACCGCTGACGTTCGGGCTCGCGGGGGAAATCTCTCAACTCTCCTCCTTTGCCCTTCAAGGAAGATGGATGCATCGGGGATCCTCAGGGGTGAGTGCCTCCGGCGTGTCTCTTGCCTCGAGTTAATGCTGAAGACCCACTTCCCATCTGGACCTGCGCGCCCCTTTCCCACCCACTCTCCCCGAAACTCTACCCTATGGCGCGTCCAGCGGCTCTTTCACATGCAGGCAGCCGCCCAGCTCTCCCCGAGCCACTTCGTAGTGCAGAAGGCACGCAGTTGCAGAGAACTTTCTCTGCTGGCTTTGGCGGGTGGTTGTTGGTTTTTTTCCTAAAAAAGAAAAGAAAAGCTTGACGCTGGAGTCTGACCGGAGTCCTTTTGCTGAGAGAAGAGCAGAAAGCGCGACGTCTCGTTTTGCCGAAAATCAGCCTCTTTGCGCTATTCTCTTAGTTCAGAATTTGACCGAAGAAAGTTCTTTGTCACGGGGCTAGACGGGAAAAAAAAACACCTTTTGAGTTAACTGTAGTTGATAACTATGACTGTGTTACGTTGTGCACTATATGTACCTGTGCAGTAACACTTTGGAGTAATACAGATTTTACCTTTCTAACGGAACTTGATTGTGAGGACATTCCTTCCGATTCTGAAGCTTATTCTGCTACAGAGAGAAGTGTTGGCGTTTGTGGAATTGGAGCTGGAGATTACAAGGAAGTCTGTTTTTGTCCTGGTGCACTTCTTATTAAAGTAGCTAATTAGAGGGTGGTGGGGTAGTTTAGTTTTAGCTTTCAAAATATGTTCTTGCTCTCTTCTTGAAGGAAGACAAAACTGCAGGTGAATTTAAGGCAGCAGTTAATGGCTACCCACCCCCATCCAAATACCCCCAAGACTATTCATACTAACATTCACTATGCTTCTGCTATTAGTGCAGCAACTCTCCATCTTCCTTCTATTTTGATGGCCCGTGTTCAAGAACAGCTACAGCACCACCAAAAGGATTTGCAGCAGAATAGTCTGGCAGTAGGCCACATCCTAATCTGATGCCCATGTACACAAAGCAAATGCCAGCAAGTGTGATAGGAGGTGCTTCTGAAAAGGAGTCCATAAAATTACAGCATCAGTTGTGCCAGTGTTATAATACCAATCAGAGGTTAGACTTTCACATGGAAATTGAAGTCTTATTTTACTCAGTCCTTAGGTATCTTACTGATTGGGAGATAGGCATAATGGTTTTATAAATTTCTAGTATTATGAGCTGTGGTTTTTAATAATATAGAAACTGTTGGTTACAATGTTTAGATATCTAGATGTAATACAGATAACCAACTTTTAAATGTATCTCTTTAGTCCTTTAAACATTGAATGAAAGACATGGGATCTTTTCTTTCAAAGAATGGTGGCCTCAAATTTGAAACATTTCGTAGGCTAAGTTATGCTCCTGAGTATTTTCTTTCCCACAAAAGCTAGACAGATAATGTTGACCCAATCTAATTTCAGCTCGTGTGTCTCTTTTATGCCATGTCATTAAGGTATTGCCTAGTAAGTGAAAAGCATAATACATAAATAAAATTCCATGTTATAGAAGTTGTGCTGTCCAAACAATCTCAGAGAATCAGACACAATTGAATGGAAGAAAAAAATGAAGCTGTGTAGATTTTCAGTTAATGTTACAAGAGAAATCACAGGATAACTCATATCAGTTACATGATATGTTTACATTTTGCTATTTCAGTATTAAGATTAATAAAAATTTGCAGGATATGTTAAATTTTATGCATTAACTGTATTTCCATACAGGAATGACTAAGGATGTCATGCATGTTTATAGTGAGATTGACTTATAGGTATTGGAATTACAGAACACAAGAAAGAACAGTTTTCAAGAAGCAACAAAATGAGGTCCTATCAAATTTTAATTTATTTGTCCATTTCAGAGAATTCTTACTGACTTAAACAGTGTATACATATCAAAGTGCAGTTATATTCATAGTTGCCTTTAGTGGCATTTTCAGGTGGGTTCATATGTATTCAGGTGGCATGGATAAGCTTTTTGGAAATGAATTACTATTTTCCCTCCATCTTCTCCACTATGTTTAGTTTTATTTATTTATTTTATTTATTTATTTTTATTTGTCAATTGCTTACAAGATAATAGGTATAAGTAAAAACATAGTTATGAATACATGGGTACATATGATATATATATATAGAGAGAGAGAGAGAGAGGGAGAGAGAGAGAGAGATAAATAGATAGATAGATATGAAACAATAGGACAGGGACAATAGGTACATTGGTGTGCTTATGCACGCCCCCCTATAGACCTCTTAGGAAAGGGGTGAGGTCAATAGTAGACAGTCTAAGGTTAAAGTTTTTGGGGTTTGGGGAAAAAAACCACAAGAGTCAGGTAGAGTATTCCAGACATTGACCACTCTGTTGCTGAAGTCGTATTTCCTGCAATCAAGTTTGGTGCGATTAACCTTGAGTTTGTATCTATTGTTTGCTTTAGTGTTGTTATGGTTGAAGCTGAAGGATTCATTGATGGGTAGGACATTGCAATGTATGATTTTATATACTATACTTAGACTGGACTGAAGGCAGCATAGTTGTAGGTTTTCTAGGTCTAGAATTTCGAGTCTGGTGGCATAAGGTATTCTGCAACAAGTAGAGGAGTGGAGAACTCTTCTTGTGAAATATTTCTGGACTTTCTCAGCTGTGTTAATATCAGATACGTAATGTGGGTTCCAGACTGATGAGCTGTATTCAAGTATTGGTCTAGCAAATGTTTTGTATGCTCTAGTTATTATATTACCAGAGAAAAAGCTACGTAAGATTAGGTTAGTTTCTCCACTATGTTTAGTACCATCTCTGTTGCAATCGTAGGTTAGATTTTGGGACTTCCATCTGCAACAGTTCACAGTACTGTAAGAGCACCTATGTTTTATTATGAAAATTTACAAAGTGTGTACATGTGAACCTGGAGGAAATACAGAAACCATTCCCAGTTCCAGACTTCTGGCAGTGGAGGGACAGGTTGGGTATAGCCTTGTTATACCAGTAGTATGCACCCATAAGCACTTTTATTTTATTTCCTTTTATTCCTTTCCAGAGTGAAGGGGGAAAGATTTGTCTTATTGCAGAAGATGAGAAGAAAGGCAAAACATTAACAGCTGATTCCTGATTGACTAAAACTTTTAGCTAATCACTTGGGCAGAAATCACATTCTGATTGGCTTCTGGTTTTTGATGAGCATTGGAGATTACAGAACAGAAGTGACTGTAGCATCTTGTGAGAATGGGCCACTCAAGACGTGCTTAATTTCAATCCAAAAAATACAAGACTTAGGTGATAAAATAGCTGGAAGTACTATCTGGAAGCACTTCAGATAAGTAACAAGCTTCTTATGCCAAAACTGTGTTTTCCAAGTTGGCCCAAACTAAGTATGACATTGGAGACCTGTATTTAGTGTTCATTTCTGCTATGAGTTATTTTTAATTAAAATGCGGTTAACAAATGTAGAAGGTGACTCATCTCTTTCCTGTAGGCCACTTATTTTATTAAAATAATCTCCAAGGGCTATTTTTAATTCTGTTTAGTGCAGGGGTCCCATATTTGCCAAAGAATATATAAAGAAATAGGAAGATGATTTAGATTGGGGGGGCAGGCAGAAAGAAATACTGGTGCAGGTGTTCACAACTTAACTTATTACTGCACTGTTCATATATTTTTATATACTGGATATATACTCTGTCCATATCCAAAAATCTAGGGAGCTACACTACTTAAATTTGCATAATTGCATTTCAAAAATAAAGACTAAATAACACTACTGTGCACTGTTTTAAAGAAAATAGGTCTGCAGTGGAAGCTATCTCGTAGAATCTGTACAATACTGGAAGAAGACAAGGTTGCTTTAATAGGTTATTAACAAGTGATTTATTATTACTCCTAAGAGCTCCAAAGCACCTCTTTCCAATCTAGCCTAGCATTCAAACAAGCAGTT